TACGCGAACGTGGCTCTTTTCACGAGCCACCGACCGGATTAACGAGCAAAGAGCTTTCAAGGGTTCGCTGCTGCTGGTTCCTGCTGGATCGACGTTTCAATCCCTTCTCCCTGCTACCTATCCCTTTTTCCTTTCCTCTCTAACATCTCCCAAGTCAGCCGAGGTTTCCGACCATCTTCCAGATTCTTCTTCATTTTTTTCTTCATCTTTTTCTATTCATTTTTCTATTCATTTGTATTCTATCACGTCGTTCAGATGACGTCATTGGAAAAGTTGATCTCACAGAGTATGCCACGTGTTACGATGTTTACGCAGTTTTAAAGAAACCAAAAAAAAAGAAAAAAAAACATCTAACACACGTGCCTTATTACAAATAAAGGTTTAATAATATTATTTATTATTCTTTTGCTAATTCTTGTATTAATTAAAAATCGTATCAAAATCTGAGACAAATGTAGAAGGTCTATAAACCATTCTCAGATTGTTACGAAACCTTTAGCAATTCTTGTTTTACTTGTTTTATTATTGAAAGTGTTCTCGTTGTTCAGATTAACGAGTTTTGAAACACTTCTCTCCAATGTATCGTTACTCTACAAAGAATCTATGAATATATGTGTGTCTGTATAAGTGTCCGGAAGAAAAAGAGAACCAATGACGTCATAGGGATATATACTCGTCTCTGTATGTAACGTAAATGTCTCGATAGCTTGAGTCCGTCGCCTTTTATGCTACGAACGGTTCGCCTTTATTGCTTTTTCCGGAAATATACACCGTCTAGACGATACAAACGCAATATGTAGACTATACTATATGCGCAACATAGAGAAAACAACACCTAGTTACGAAAACGCAACACTATTTTTCTTTTATTTTTTATTTTTTTAAGAGGAAAAAACAACTTCAATAATCACTTTTGTTGTGTGTGTGTTTTTTTTTTTTTTGTATCTTACGTTAAGTAAACCAAGTAAATTGCAACTTTGATAATTTTGTAATTAAAGTGTGTGATATATTAAAAATAGTTTATAGTTTAATATTTGATTCGTAGACATTTTCCTTTTTATTTTTTTATTATTTTATATCTATATTATATNTTACGAAAACGCAACACTATTTTTCTTTTATTTTTTATTTTTTTAAGAGGAAAAAACAACTTCAATAATCACTTTTGTTGTGTGTGTGTTTTTTTTTTTTTTTGTATCTTACGTTAAGTAAACCAAGTAAATTGCAACTTTGATAATTTTGTAATTAAAGTGTGTGATATATTAAAAATAGTTTATAGTTTAATATTTGATTCGTAGACATTTTCCTTTTTATTTTTTTATTATTTTATATCTATATTATATTTCATTATTATTTCTTTTATTATATTATTAATTAATTTTATTATTATAATTCTATATATATATAAACCTCCTATATATTTTATTTTTTAAATCACAGAAGAGAATAACGTGAGATTATTTTTAGAAATCTTGCAACGTGCTCAGATCTTTTTCCTTTTTTTTTCCTTTTTTTTCTTCTTCTTCTATTTCTTTGATTCCTTGACTTTATTTTATTATATCTCTTATCGATTCCCACGGATCTTCTTATTCCCGTGTTGCTACTTTCTTTCTATTCTTCTTGCCACCCCTTAGCCCACCCCCATTTTCTTTAGACCGATCAAAGTTGTTCGTGAATTTGCCAACCCGTGAACTATACACACATATATACACCCACACTCACATTATTCTTTGCTATGATTGTAGTTGGACAGGATCCAAACATAATAAATTTCAAATCGGACCATTGCTTTTACCCTAGGATTCGTAAGAAACCTCGGAAAAGATACCTTCGGGACTTTCGATGTCAACAATTTCGTACTTGTTCGAAATATCGAAAGAAGGAAAATCAAAAAGCAAAGAGCTACGAAAGAAAAAGCGGCGGAGGAGGGGGGAGGGGAAGTAGAAAGTAAAAAAAAAAAAAGAAAAATAGAAAAAGAAAATAAATATCGTACGTTTTCGAGAATATCGTGGACAAAATTTCTCGTGAAAAATTCGATGCTAAAAAGAGACCAAACACGTTAATAGAATTCGCATGATTTTGTGAATGGAAAAGTGGGTTACGAAGAGAAATAAAAATATTATTGACAAATATGATAAAAGAAAGAGTATTATATGATCAGTTGTTCGTAATTTGATTTCATCTACATCCCATACATAAAAAATCATATCAGATGATGATTCATGCTGTAAAACATAAAAATCAACAGATTTGTTTTCCACTATAACTTTTGACAAGTACACTTGTTTCTATATTTCATATGAAATTCTAAGAACAATTAGTTTTTTTCAGATAATAGATAGATCCATATAAAAATTATATTTTATCATGCTATTGCAAAAAGTATTTAGTAATGTAAAGAATAATAAAAGGAAAAGTAAACAAATGGTGATAACGATTATCACAATGGAATATAATTTCTTACTACTATACTTTTCCACGTAGGATTTTTTTTTTTTATAATTTAATAATCTAACAAGTGTGTGTCTTACGTATTATAAGAAAGAAAATAAAAAAAAAATGTCAATTAGTATTTCGTACGTAAACATTTTTCGAGTTAATATTATTAATGAAGTTTTCGTTAAAAAGTTGATTTGAAAATGTTATTGAACGACATAACTCGTGGCACGTAATTTTCTACTCTCTGCGATTAGGGGTGGAAAATATGTGGGGATGGTAGGTTGGGAAAAAGGGGTTCTCGAGGGAAGAAAATCATTTCTAGTTCGTAGAGTATTATTTTACGGTTCAGGTGTATTAAGTTTTTACGTTGCATCGACGGTGACTATCAAGCATTCGCCCATTTATAGGTACGACCGACCTCGTCCGGTTATTATGATGAATTAATAAACCACGTGCAAAGAAGTAAGAGAAAGAGAGAGAGAGAGAGAGAATCCCTCGTGAATAAATCCTGAATTATGGCAAATTTTAGAAGCCAAACCATTCTTCCATTACTCTCTCGTTAGTTTCCTTTCCTATTTTCTCTTACTTTATATTCTCGTAACGATCGAATCCTTTCCATTTGATTTGTGATCGACAGAACACAAAGCAAAAAATAGAAAGAGACAGAAACTTTAATTAGTATAAGTTTTATTAACAATAAAATTAGTTTAGATGTGTTTTTGGATACATTTACGATATTATACACACAAGTATAGTGGTTTAATTATTTTTTATTATTTAATTTCTAAATTATTATAATTTAGATTACTTATATTATATTATACAAATATAGCAGTTTATTTATATTTATTATTATTTAATTTTTAAATTATTATTATTATTATTATTGTAATTAATTTTTTTAAATTAATAGTTCAATTTATTTTTATATTTTTATAGAAAATGTTTTTTATTTATTATATTTTTTTTTCTAAAATTTGGAAACTCGTGAACTCCAGGGGGTACTTTAGAAACATCGTAGATGGTTTAAACCGTACGCGTAGAACCACCACCACCACCACCACTACTAACGTCTATTTGCCATGGCGAAACAAGTTTGGAGGTTGGGCTTCCCCTAATCTAATTTGCGAAGCAATCTACAATAACAATAGTTCGCGTACCACTGACGAGATGAAGAGGAATAGGAGTAGAAGTAGAAGTAGAAGAAGAAGAAGACGAAGAAGTGAAAGGGGTAGTGTGTTCATTGGTGATGGTAGTAGGTATAGGGACTTTACTGGATGAGGAAACCTCTTGACTTTGGCGTACCAACGTTCCTACTAACTTCCAAGTTTCCAACCTGACGAATAAGAGAGAAAGAGAGAGAGAGAGAGAGAGAGAGAGAGAGAAACAAACTAACTGAGACCACGTTTAGATCAACGTTTAGATTTTCCTACATCCCAAATACGAGATGTCTTATCGTATATTTCAAACGGAGAAACTCAGTGACAATAATTGTGCTCATAATTATGATAGTGGTCTAAGGTTAATCAAAATGAAAAGAAAAATATCAATTTATCAGTTATCTCATACCATATTATTTTAAATGATATAAATATCAATATAATTTTTACCATATTGTCAAAAATGATCACGTTTACATTTTATTATATAGAATATATAGTAGTATTTAATATTTATAATGTAATAGTTGAACAACATACACACACACATAATAATAATAATAATAATAATAATTATTATTATTATTGTATTTCACTTGCATGTTTTTTCGTGATTCTTTGATGACAGGAAAAATAGAAAGACGAGACTACGTCTCGGTGAAAGGCTTGACAAACATATAGATAAATAGATAATTGTATACTTAATAGACAAAAAGAGAGAGAGATAGGTTGAAGTAAAAAAACAAATGAAAATAAAATAAAATGATGAGCGCGTGCCAATCGTGACCTCGTTTACCAGTCTATCTTATGTTGAAAGAATGAATGTAAAAAAAGAAAAGAAAAAACAACAAAAAATATATGCACTTGAAGATATTTGCAGTTGCACACCGTCATCTTATGTTAGTCAGCCTATGTGTACGCGAGAATATTTAATAAAGAGAGAGAGAGAGAGAGAGAGAGAGAGAAGGAAATAAAAAGAAACGGAGATTAGATATCAGGAGAGAATTTTTTACAGACAACCTTCGAAGTTCTGCGAATAGCGTAATAATCTTGTCGAAGGTCAACGACGTCGTGTACCTCCAGTATTTAAACCACTCCAGACAGGAAAAATATTATTATTTATCTAGGGATACGTGATAGTAACAATGGCAAGGTTAATCACCGATCTATATATAGAGAGAGAAAATGAAATATAACGAATGAATGTTCTCTTTAATTATCAATAATAATAATTAAAAAAAAATGAAAGAAAAGAATGAAAAAAACAACAACTGATGATGATGCATCAAATGCATTCGATGACGAATCAAACGCGAACAAAGGAAAATTTAAATACAAAGAAGAAATAAAAAATAATTAAAAGACAAATGAATGAGTATTATTTAAAAAAAAAAAACTCACATGCGTTCCAGGATGAAATTGGTGATCCTGCAGCAAGGAATGTTGCTGATGCAACACCGACAAAGGATTTTCTTGATCTTCTTGACGATGCTGGCGATGTTGCAATGGTTGCAATGGTTGATGATGATGAAGGTGATGATGATGATGATGATGATAATGATGATGATGATGATGATGATGTAGATGTCGATGGTGATGTAAAATAGAGGAAGAATTCGATTCCGTTAATGGTTCCAATCGACGATGATGAAGATGATGCGATACTGTTGCCAATATTGCCAAAATCGTACCAACTGTCAAAACGAGCACCGCTGACACTACGTAACTGCTCGTACTCACTAAAAATTTAACAACAATGACAATAATTAATTTTACATAGAAAAAAAATCCAAAATCTTGTTCACACATCTTTCTCTCATCTTGTTTTATTTTCAACTGCATCAATATCGATTACTAACACCAACTTCAAAGTTACGTGTTTCATTTTTGTGCAACGTTTCGCCAATAACATGATGAGTTTTGTTTTTAGCGTGTATTGTTGTTGTTCAACTTGATCGACTAACTACCAATTAAATATGCGATCGTTTTGGAAAATAAGAAAAAAATAAAATATCAAATAAAATGAATTCAATTGAAGGAACATCATACACACGTGTTGAATGTTCATACGTTGATGAATATTGCAGAAACCGAATTTATTCGGTTAGCCAATCGTATTTTTTTTTTTTTTTGTATTTTGTCATACAACCTTTCGAGAACCGATATGAAGTAACGCAAATTTATTTTGCAACGATGACAAATTTTGTCTTCTCTCAGCAAGCTATTTAATCCAATTAATAATTTGTTTTCTTAGTTTAACTTCGAGAAGATTCTGTAACAATTTTTCCAACGTTTGGTCTGAATCGTTAGATTTCAATTCAGTTTGTTTTGTTTACAATTTCTTCTAGATAAACATTCTTAAACTATAAGTTCTTGTTCTTCATCTAAGTACACTTTCGATATGTTATCTGTTAAGGTTATCCATATTTTTCTTCTTTGATGTTTATTATTATTAAATATTTTTTTCACCTTGACATAGTTTGAGGTATTTATAATCTCTTTGTATCAATTTATCGGTTGGTAGTCATCTGGTATTTCAAAATTCTGTCGATCAGGTGTAGTTATTGAAGTTATGCATATAATATTTGATTTTTCATCCGCTGTTGGGTTTAACCGTAAACTCAAACCTTAATCTTTTCCATGTTAAAATGTTTGCAGAAAATGTTGTTTTATAATGAGTTTTCAATTGGTTTATATAACAAAACAAGATTTATATTTACAATATTTACAATGTTTACAACATTTAACGAATTAACAGATTCACTTAACTATTATAACGAAACAAGAAACAACATTTAAAGTCTTTAACTTACAATTAGGTAACAACTAACATTTACCTTCTAATAAATCAATCTTTCTTTGGGGAAGATTTTCCTCACATTAACCATCCATCTCACTCTTCCCTATCGTTATATACATATACATACATATATATATATATCTACCGATGTCGCTAGCTATGACACCTAGTGTTATATATAATATAAATACTAAATTAATTATACTAAATAAAAGTGCTTTAAAATCGACATGGTTTTTTTTTTATATGTATTATAAAAATATTCAAAAAATACTTGATCGATCGTGATTGCAATAATTGAAAATTCATTTGTGAATCGTAATATTTTAAATCAAAATTTCCGAAATATTTCAATTATTTTTAGAGAATAATCCTTGTAGGTTGTAATCGTAAGACGTTTAAATGTTGACTGACTAAACACCCATCGTGAATGAACGACTTACAAAACAAATTACGCGTAGGCCAAAGTAATATCGACGATAAGCAATAAGCATAACATCTGACTTTATTGTTTATTTTTAAGTACGTCGCATACAACAAATAACCCACGAATGTAAATCGTTTTACTGTATTTACAGGATGTTGGATTTTTCATAACTTTATTATGTAAATCTTACTGATAGAAATACTTGAAATTTTTCAGAGTAGATAGAATCAACATTGTAATACGAACTTGATATTATTTGAAATCGTATTAGAATTGAACAACACCCTTGTACAATTGAACATTTTTGATTCTTCATTATCTTTTTCATCTTGAAAGATTAAACAACAAATTAATTGCTTCTGGATACATTTAATTTCTTTATTAATTTTTTTTTTTTTTATTTTATTTTTTCTTTTCTCTGTCATACATCAAAAGTTAATCAAAAACGATATGAAATTCGACCAGATAAATGTGTGCCTAAAAAAAAAAAAAAATCAACCAGAGAGATAGAGAAAAATATACAAATAAAGAATAATAAAAAAAAAAGAAGGTAAAAAAAAGAGAGGTGGGTTTGGTTGATTGGGATTAACACGAGGAACCTTTCAACCTGTTAGCTGTCATAAATAAGGTAGCTCATTAACTCGCTTCTGTTGCTTCTGCTTCTGCTTCTGCTTCTGCTTCTGCAGGTAGCATAGCATCAAATTCAGGAAGCTTTAATATATGAAACATCCGAGGCCTCGAGTTTTAACAGTTTACAGTTTTAGCATTATACTTTCACCTTCCAAGTTAATTTTTTACATGATACACACACACACACATATATATGTAGATGAAAAAAAAAAACATATTTCGAATGAGTTCATTTCGGTGTCTCGGACAATGAGTCACCACAATAAATAAAAAAAAAGTAAAAAAATAAAATTGTAGAGGCACGAAGCTAAAAAAAGGATGAGAGTTAAGGGAAGTAAATAGCCATGGGATGAGAAGACTGAACAATTTTTATTTTTTTATCGTTGAACAAGAAATAAAAGTCAAATTTGGAATTTAGCCGTTGAGAGAGAAAGAGAGAGAATTTGTTTGGACTAATGGGACATTATTCGTCGAGGTGAGTTTGTCGAGAATGATGCCAGCAAGCATGTGTGTGTGTGTGTGTGTGTATGTGTGTATGTGTGTACGAGGACGATTCTCTGTGATCGCGATTGGTTGGGACAGGATGAGACACGACTATAAAACCTTATCAACGTTCATCATCGCCAGTTCAACGGTTTGAACGTGGCTCGTCACCCACCGCTCGTTAAACGTCCTCTATCTATCTTTTTATCTCTCTCTCTCTCTCTCTCTCTCTCTTTGAAACACACACTTGAACGTAGTAAGCATCACGCAGAGACAGTTTCGTCGTCCTCTCTCCCCTTTCGAAAGGCTTGAAATAAAAAAATAAAAAAAATATAAAAAGGGAAAATGAAACCACTCTTCTAACGAAGAAAAAAAAAAGAACGGCTTTTATGTATACACACGTGTGTATGTGTATATGCATGTGGGGTGGGAATGAGAGGTAGAAGGAAGAGGGAGAGAAAACGATCGAGTAAATGAAAGAAAATTTCTCGTGGTTAGTGAAAAATATTCGTCGTTTCTTCTTAAAGCAAAGATGGTTGTGGTGGTGATGGTGATGGTGGTGGTGGTGGTAATGTTATCGAAGTATTCGTTATTAGAATTATTAGCGACCACGCCCCGAAGTAAGACGTGTTTGAACTGCCAAAGTGCAAAAGAACCTTCACAGACATACATACATACATACATACATACACACACACAGATATTTATAGGGTCTTTTCCCTACGTACTTTACTTTGCGAGTCAGTTCGAAAACGAATAGAAGGTAAAGAAGAAGGTGAAAGATACAAAACTGAGAGATGAAGGTTCAAAAAGTCGAAGTAGAAATAGTAGAAGTAGAAGAAGAAATATAAAGAAGAGAAAGGGAAAGAAAGAAAAGGAAGGAAGGAAGGAAGGAAGGAAGGTTTGCTTTTGGTCAGCTTTTGTGCAAGAAGGAACAGCCGGCTGGCGTCTAAGTCCGCAAACATTTTGCGTGTCAATATTTGACGGACCGTTTAGGATGTCTGCTGCCATAGGTCCTCGTCGTGTCCACGTCGTTGACGTTGACGTTGTCGTCGTTGTCGTTGTCGTTGTCGTTGTCGTTGTCGTTGTCGTTGTCGTCTACGTTGAACGTATAAAAGAAAAAAAAAAAGAGTAAAGGGCAGTAGACTTCCCGCACCTTTTTTGTAGATATATTTCGATTAGCTTTCCCTCCCAAACCACCCAACCCTTCCTCCTCATTTTTCTTACGATCGAATCTTCTTTACTTTCTTCTATCCTCTTTCCTAGCCAACCACTTAAATTTCTTTTTCATTTTTTTTTTCTGTGTAGTCAAATCTCATTTATTTCTTTTAAATTCTTCCTTTTTTTTTACGTTTAATCTCGAAACAAAAATTGTCTTTATTTTCACAAAAGACAAACGAAATTACTTTATGAACAAATTCAATACTTGTTAGAATAATTAAAGAGAACATGTAAGAAACGTAAGAATGAACGAACACACGGCAGGTGCATTGAATAATATTCGCGAAAGGATCTTCTTCTTTCGTGGACTTCTTTTCTCCCAGTATCCACCACCTCCTCCTCCTCCTCCTCCTCCTCCTCCTTTTTCTGAGGTCATAACCGAGACTGGTGGCTTCCAACGAACGAATCTTCTTCTCCTCCTCTTCCTCCTCCTCCTATTGCACACGCACGTGCACTCGCATGTACTGGAGCCGACAGTGCGAGTGGACTCTTGCAGGACAACGATGATGATGACGATGATGACGATGATGACGATGACGATGACGATGACGATGACGATGAAGATGACGACGATGACGATGAAACGAAGAAGAAGAGTGAGAGAAAATAAAAGAACGAGAAAGAGAGAGAGATAGAAAGTTAGGGAGAAAGAATACGAAAGATGGAGAATAAAAAAGAGAGGGAAAGGAGAGTATAAAAGAAAGAGAGAAAGAGAGAAAGAGAAAGAGAAAGAGAGAGAGAGAGAGGAGTTACGATGGTGCAGCGCATGCAGCGCACCAGACAAAAAACGATGAGCTACGGTGGGGGCCAGACGGGGGACAAAAACACGCGACGGGCCCCAAACCCACTTGCGAACGACTCCCTTACACCGAGTCCTGCACGCACACATACATATATACATATATACAAGCATATATATTGAGGGAAGGAAGGAAAGAAAGAAAGAAAGAAAGAGAGTGAGAGAGAAAGACATAGGCACACAGACAGACCGTAAAAGCGTGTGTCTTTGTACGTGCAGTTTAAGCCTCTTGCATGCCTGCATCCGAGGATCGCATGCAGCATGGGTAGAAAAGGGCGAACGAACGAACGAACGAACGAACGAACGTACGAGCGAAAGCAGTCGGAGCCCTTTCCAACGTTGAAATGACCCATCAAGGACGAAGAGGACGACGACGACG